TAAATACGCCGTGTCCAGCCCCCAGCAGCCAGCCCGGAGGCTCGGTGGAGGCAGAGCTGGTGTAACCAGCCCCCAGGAATAAACAAATTGGGGACAGCCCCTGCCTTGCCCTCCCAAACCAGCCCCAGCCAGGGGCTCTCCGTGCCCACCCTGGCATCGCCTCCCGTGCCCAGCTCACCCGCTCCGGAGGGGTTTGCGCTGTGCCCTCCTCTCTGCCAGGCTCAGCCCCGAGCTTTTCCTGCTCCCTGAAGGTCAAACTGCTCCCTCGGGAGCCCCTGGTGCCAGCCCAGCCCCTGGCCTGGCACGGTGCCGCCTCTCCCGGGCACGTCGCTCCGGTTGGACCCGTGCAGGAGCTCCGAGGGTTTTTTTTTGTTTTTTTTTTCCCCCACCCAGCTGGGATTTCTCCTTCGCCTGCTCAGTTTCTCCAAAATGCTCGAACCTGCTGGCAGCCAGCTCCCTCCTCACCTGGCAGCGAGCTGGGAGCAGGGTGTGTGGCAGGTGGGTGCAGACCCCTCCTCATTTCCTCCAAAATGTTCCCAGCCCCAAAATAATCCCCAGGGCACAGCCTGGGCAGGAGCCAGCGCAGCTGCCCTCGCTGGTCCCTGAGGCTCCAAGAACCCCCCTGAGGCTCCAAGAACCCCCCTGAGGCTCCAAGAACCCCCCTGGCTGTCCCCAGAATGGGAATTTCAGGTTTATCCGGAATTTACACCCATTTAACCAAAGGAGGGGAGCCAGGCAGAGCTCAGGGTGTGGGGAGTTTGTCTGGAGCCCAAAGAGCTCCGAGGAAAGGTGACAAAACCCCGGGGGCAATTCCTAGAAGAGGCTTTAAAGAGAAGGTGGCACAACCTGTAGGGACATTGGGGAGACCTTGAACCCTCCCCAGGTGAGCCTGGCCAGGTGATCCCACCCTGCACCCGCTGAAAATCACCCCAGGCGCCCATCCCAACGCTCCTGCAGCTCACCCCTCCCAAAACCCCCCCAGAACTGCTCCTGGGCCCCCAGAGATGGAGAATCCCCCATTCCTGATTTTCTCAGCCTCCCAGGAAGGTGAGGAGCAGCACCCAGAGCTCATCCCGGAGCACGGGACTCGCCATTCCTGGGAATTCCTGGGTAAATCCGCAGGGAAAACCTGCTCCAAGCACAAGCCAGGTGCCAGGAGCAGGGACAGGAATCTGGAAGGGATGAGGGAAGAGCCATGGGGGCTCCTCCTGGATGTGACAGCGAGAGGAAAAAAAGATGAGCCGGAAAAAATCCCGGAGTGGTCAGGGAGAAATCCCCCCTCTGACCCCCCCAAGTGTCACAGAGCTGGTGACAACGGCCACGGAGTCACCAGTGTGACCCCAGCTGCCCTCCACAGAGGTTGGAAAAGCTCCTGGAGGTGGTGCCACCACGGGAAGGCCACCACAGGGAGGTGACAGCACACCTGGCACCTCTGAGCACCCCCTGCTCTTTTATGGGGGTGTGAAACACCCGGTGCTGGCTCCCTGGGATCCTCTGGGATCCTCTGGGATCCTCCTGGGGTCCCTCACAGCAAACAGGGTCTGGGAAGTTGTCACAGAGCTGCCACCACCAGCATGCTGCCACAGGGACGTGTGGTGGCACTGCCAGCCCCCACGCCCAGGACACTGCTGCTGGCCCCAGAACTTCCCCTTTTTCTGGGATATGGGATAACCCCACACAGGGCACTGACAAAACAGCTCCTTTCAGCACAGTCCAGCTTGAGGTGCCCTCTAAAACCACCCCAAAAACTCCAGAAGGGAGGTTTTGTCCCCACAGAGGGGACAGGAGTGTGACAGCTCCATCCCTGCTGTCTACGCCCAGGGAAAGGAGGGAGAAACATCAAATCCAGGGATGAGATCCCATCACTCCAGACCCCACTCCGCCACATGAGGATGTTTTTACCCTCAGCACTGTGGATTTTCGGAGGGGGACACCCCCAGCGTGGCCTCCCCAGCCTCATTTCCCTGTTTTTTGTGCTGCCACCCCACCCTCAGCCCTGGGAATGTCCCCCCTGCTCTGGTGACCCACCACAACATCCCAAGGGGCTCTTCCCATTTCCCACAGCACTTCCAGGAAAACAGGGCAGGGCAGGGGGACCAGGAGCACACAGGTGGGCGCTGTGAAGTGTGGAAAAAGCAATAAAATCCCTGGCTGGGCTCACAACTCCATCCTAAACACCCGGATGCTGGATGGCCCCGTGCAGCAGCTCCACCCCGGCACAGTCTGCAGTTTCCTACTGATAAGGGCGGGCAGATCCCTTGGAAAACACAAAACATGAGGGGCTGGCATCCCTCGGGAAGCAAACCCAGAATTCCTCAGGAAACAAACCCAGAATTCTTCAGGAAACAAACCCAGCATCCCTTGGAAAACACAAAACACGAGGGGCTGGCATCCCTCGGGAAACAAACCCAGAACCCCTCAGGAAACGAACCCAGAATCCCTCGGAAAACACAAATCACACAGAGCTGTCCCCCCTGCTCTGGTGACCCACCACAACATCCCAAGGGGCTCTTCCCATTTCCCACAGCACTTCCAGGAAAACAGGGCAGGGCAGGGGGACCAGGAGCACACAGGTGGGCGCTGTGAAGTGTGGAAAAAGCAATAAAATCCCTGGCTGGGCTCACAACTCCATCCTAAACACCCGGATGCTGGATGGCCCCGTGCAGCAGCTCCACCCCGGCACAGTCTGCAGTTTCCTACTGATAAGGGCGGGCAGATCCCTTGGAAAACACAAAACATGAGGGGCTGGCATCCCTCGGGAAGCAAACCCAGAATTCCTCAGGAAACAAACCCAGAATTCTTCAGGAAACAAACCCAGCATCCCTTGGAAAACACAAAACACGAGGGGCTGGCATCCCTCGGGAAACAAACCCAGAACCCCTCAGGAAACGAACCCAGAATCCCTCGGAAAACACAAATCACACAGAGCTGGCATCCCTCGAGAAGCAAACCCAGAATTCCTCAGGAAATTAACCCAGAATGCCTCAGAAAACACAAAACATGCGGGGCTGGCATTCCTTGGGAAGCAGATCCGGAATCCATCAGGAAACAAACCCAGAATTCCTCAGGAAACGAACCCAGCATCCCTCAGAACACACAAAACACGCGGGGCTGGCATTTCTTGGGAAGCAGACCCGGAATCCATCAGGAAACAAACGCAGAATCCCTCGGGAAGCAAAGCCAGAATTCCTCAGGAAACAAACCCAACATCCCTCGGAAAACACAAAACACACGAGGCTGGCATTCCTTGGGAAGCAAACCCAGAATTCCTCAGGAAACAAACCCAGAATTCTTCAGGAAACAAACCCAGCATCCCTTGGAAAACACAAAACACGAGGGGCTGGCATCCCTCGGGAAACAAACCCAGAACCCCTCAGGAAACGAACCCAGAATCCCTCGGAAAACACAAATCACACAGAGCTGGCATCCCTCGAGAAGCAAACCCAGAATTCCTCAGGAAATTAACCCAGAATGCCTCAGAAAACACAAAACATGCGGGGCTGGCATTCCTTGGGAAGCAGATCCGGAATCCATCAGGAAACAAACCCAGAATTCCTCAGGAAACGAACCCAGCATCCCTCAGAACACACAGGGCTGGCATTCCTTGGGAAGCAAACCCAGAATCCCTCAGGAAGCAAACCCAGAATTCCTCAGGAAATGAACCCAGAATCCCTCGGAAAACACAAAACACGCGGGGCTGGCATTTCTTGGGAAGCAGACCCGGAATCCATCAGGAAACAAACGCAGAATCCCTCGGGAAGCAAAGCCAGAATTCCTCAGGAAACAAACCCAACATCCCTCGGAAAACACAAAACACACGAGGCTGGCATTCCTTGGGAAGCAAACCCAGAATTCCTCAGGAAACAAACCCAACATCCCTCGGAAAACACCGGGCTCCCCTCCACGTGCTGCCCTGAGCCACCCCCAGCCCAACCCGGGTGTCCCCCCCAAATCGCGCCACCCCAATCCCAAATTCCCAGCTGGCTTTCCCACCTTCCAGCAGCAGGTGAGGCAGAGCGGGCTGGCACAAACCAGCCCCATTCCCGGCTCGGAGCAGCCGTGCATGAAGCCAAGCAAACATGGCAGGGAAGTACAGAGAAAGGGGGGGAGGAAAGAAAAAATAACCCCCCCAAAGCTGCCCTCGCTGCCTGCAGGATCTGTTATATAAAAAACCAACTCCCCCCGTGCCCCAAGGGCCGGGAACACGCCGGGATTCCTGGAAACGGGCCCTGCTTTCCCCGGGCTCGCACCGGATTATTTATTTATCTTACACCAGCACAATAACCACCAGATTTTCTTCGTGTTTCTAGTCTTTTTTTTTTTTTTTTTGGGTTTTTGTTGTTGGTTTTTTGGGGTTTTTTTTTTAAGGAAATTTCCCCCATCATCTGACTGCCCGGAGCTCTGGGGGCTGCGTAATCCTTTCCTGCTTCGTAATTAATTCATGAATGTAATTAATCGGTCCGGGGCAGCCCCCTCTATTCCCCCCCAGATTCCCCGGGAAGGGGGGGGACACGCTGTGTGTCCTCTTGGTGACCCCCTAAAAGCTGTGTGACACGAGGTATCCCAATTTTCCCACCTTTTGAGACCCCAAGAGGGGTCCTCACTTTGCGTTCCCCAAACCAGGGGGTGCCGGGAACCCCCCGGGTGTCCCGGAGCATCCGTGCCTCAGTTTCCCCACCGTGTTCGGGGGGTTCCCGGGCAGGTCCCCCCGAGCTGCCGGGGGTCTCACAGCCCCCAGAACCGCCGCTTTTTGGGAGAGGGCACCGGGACGAGCTGCTGGAGACCCCCAAAACCCCCGCAGCAGCCGCGCTGGAGCCGGAGGGGCGCGGGGGGGCGATTATTTACAGCAAAATAAGGGAAAAAAAAAACAACTCCGAGTTTAAAGCGCCCCGGGACTGTGCAGGACAGGGGGGACCACCCCAACACCCCCCCAAGGTGGGCTCCGAGCCGAGGGGGCTCCTCTGCCCGGGGACCCCCGGGACCCCCCGGCCCGCACTCACCCGTGGGGAACGGCGAGGAGACGAAGTGATTCGGGTCTGCTCGGCCTCGCTCGGCTGCGCTCGGCCCGGCTCGGTTCGGCCCCTCGGCTCCGTTCAGCCCCGTTCGGCTCCGCTCGGGTCTGCTCGGCCCCGCTCGGCTGCGCTCGGCCCGGCTCGGTTCGGCCCCTCGGCTCGGTTCAGCCCCGTTCGGCCGCGCTCGGGTCGGTTCGGGCTCACTCGGCTGTTGTCGGCCCGGCTCGGTTCGGCCGCTCGGCTCCGTTCAGCCCCGTTCGGCTGCGCTCGGATCGGTTCGGCTCTGTCCGGCCTCACTCGGCTGAGCTCGGTCAGACTCGGTTCGGCTCCTCGGCTCTGCTCAGCTCAGTTCGGCCCCACTCGGCTCGGTTCGGCTGCGCTCGATTCGACTCCTCGGCTCAGTTCGGCCCCACTCGGCTCTGCTCGTCCCGCCTCGGTTCTGTTGGGCTCCTCAGCTCTGCTCAGCGCAGCCCGGCCCGGTTGGGCTCGGCTCGGCCCGGCTCGGCCCCGTGCCGAGGGAGGGCAGCAGCAGCGCCCGCCCGGCCCGGCGCGGCCCGGCCCGTTCCGCTGCCCTCGCTCCGCTCCGCCGGCCCCGGGCACGCCGGGAGCTGCAGTCCGCGCCTGCCGGGACTTGTAGTCCCCGCCCGGCCGCGGCAGGAGTTTGGGCTTGGCGCTTCCCTTCCCTGGAAAGCGGGGAGGCGTCCTCCCCAAAAGTGTTTGGAGGTTTTTTTCTCCTCTAAAGTGGGTGTTTCCACCCCAAAAAACGGGTCGGGAGGGGAAGGGTGGGGTGGAGGTGCAGTCCCGTGAGCCAGGATAGTGCATCCCTTTCTGTCAGGAACACGGGGGGATCGTGGGGCTCCTTGCACCAGGATCCTGCTTCCCTTTGACCAGGATCCTATATCCCTTTGGTCTGGGACCACACGGGGATCGTGGGGCTCCTTGCACCAGGATCCTGCTTCCCTTTGGACCAGGATCCTACATCCCTTTGGTCTGGGACCACACGGGGATCGTGGGGCTCCTTGGACCAGGATCTTGCTTCCCTTTGGACACAATCCTACATCCCTTTGGACCAGGATCCTATATCCCTTTGGACTGGGACCACACAGGGATCCTGGAGCTCCTTGCACCAGGATCCTGCTTCCCTTTGGACCAGGATCCTATATCCCTTTGGACTGGGACCACACGGGGATCGTGGAGCTCCTTAGACCAGGATCCCTTTGGTCTGGGACCACACGGGGATCGTGGGGCTCCTTGCACCAGGATCCTGCTTCCCTTTGACCAGGATCCTATATCCCTTTGGTCTGGGACCACACGGGGATCGTGGGGCTCCTTGCACCAGGATCCTGCTTCCCTTTGGACCAGGATCCTACATCCCTTTGGACTGGGACCACACGGGGATCGTGGGGCTCCTTGCACCAGGATCCTGCTTCCCCCTGACCAGGATCCTACATCCCTTTGGGCTGGGACCACATGGGGATAGTAGAGCTCCTTGGACCAGGATCCTGCTTCCCTTTGGACCAGGATCCTATATCCCTTTGGACTGGGACCACACGGGGATCGTGGAGCTCCTTGCACCAGGATCCTGCTTCCCTTTGGACACAATCCTACACTATATCCCTTTGGACTGGTATATCCCTTTGGACAAGGATCCTATATCCCTTTGGGCTGGGACCACATGGCGATCATGGAGCTCCTTGCACCAGGATCCTTCTTTCATTTCCTTCAGGAACACAGGGGGACTGTGGAGCTCCTTGGACCAGGATCCCGCATCCCTTAGCGCCAGGGCTTCCCTTTGGACCAGGATCCTATATCCCTTTGGACTGGTATATCCCTTTGGACAGATCCTTCTTTCATTTCCTTCAGGAACACAGGGGGACTGTGGAGCTCCTTGGACCAGGATCCTGCATCCCTTAGTACCAGGATCCTACATCCCTTTGGAATGGGACCACAGGGGGATCATGGGGCTCCTTGGACCAGGATCCTGCATCCCTTTGGGCTGGGACCACAGGGGGCTCATGGATCTCCTGGCCCCAGCTTTCAGCGCTCCTTGCAGCCCGATCCTGCAGCCGGCCGTGGCCCTGGCAGGGCAGCAATGTCCCCACATCCACCCTGATTTCCCTCCTGACCCCCACACCAAACACGGGACAGCGATAAAAAGCCAAACGCCGTCGTTATCACCCAGTTAAAGGATTTTTCTTCAGCCCCAGCTCCAGCTTTCCGGAAAACAAAGGCACAACCACACACACCCCTTCCAGCAAGTGGAAATTCCTGCTGCTGGTGTTCTGGGAATGGGCAGGAGTGTTCCAGGTGCCTGCAGACCTGCTGCCAGCTTCCAGCCAAGCTTTTGGGCATGGAACGATGCTGGGAATCCTCAAGAGCTCGGGAAATCCCCACAAGGTTCCTGATGGCTCTGCCTTGGCAGGTCCTGCAGGGAGCAAAGGGGACAGCAAAGAGCAGCAGGGACATGGTCAGCCTTTGCCTGTCCCCTCCTGTCCCCACCACCCTGTTTCCAGCAGAGAATTCCCATTCCAGAGGAGGAGGAGGAGGAAGAGGAGGAGGATGAGGAATGCCCTTCCCTGCTGTCCGTGCCTAATCTCCGTCTCAGCTCAGCCTGTGTCAATATTTTGACTCAAAGCTCGGAGCACTTTGTGTCCTTCCGCCGGGAGGTGACAGAGCCCTGAACGCATCTGAGAGCGAGCTCCAGTGACAAAGAACTGCTAAAAAATTACTCTGGATGCTGGGAAAGAGCAGGGCCACCCAACCTCCCCCTGCCCGGGGTGTTCCCCATCCCCTTGGGCCACACCTCCCCCCAATTCCCGATATTCCAGTGCAGTTTTTCCAGGCTGAACAGCTCCGTTTTGAGGCTCAGGGGTCTTTTGGGTGTCATGACTCACTTCGTGGCCTCACATTTCCACTTGGATACACCACAGAGCTTTGGCAAAGCTTTTCCAGCTGCAGGGAGCCTCAGGGGCTTCCCCTGGGAGGTTTCCCGAGGGTTGGAGGTGGGCACTGCTTTATCCCAGGGCCTGGAGCTCATCCCAGCACTTTCCTTGCTGGAACAAGGAATTGTGAGCCACAGAACCCCTCAGGCTGCTCCCCACAAACCCCGGAGCTCAGAGACCATTTGGGACGGCAGGGTTTATTTGTTCCAGGATAAATCCGTGGGCACACACACACAAATCCCGAGGGATGGGGATGGGAAGGAGCAGAAAGGTCCCTGGGAATGCTGTGGCGCTCCGCGGGCCGGGAGAGGGGCTGGAATTTGCTTCCTCTAGGCCGACAGGGCGAAGCCCACGCGGTTGTTGGCCATGTCGAAGGCGGTGTAATATTCCTTCAGGAACACGTTTCCCAGGATCCAGAGGGGCTGCCCGTCCTGGGAGGGCAGGTAGGTGACCTCGATGGCCAGGGTGCAGTAGCCATTGCTCTGGAGAGGGAATAACGGGGGGTCAGCACCTCCAGCAGCACAGGGAGAGCAGCGCTGCCGGCCACGGAGCTACGGGCTCTTCCCGGAGCCTGGGGAATGCTTGGGCTATTCCCAGTGCCTCGGGAATTCTCTGGAATTCTTGGGATGTTCCCGGTGCCTCGGGAACGCTCAGGATATTCCTGGTGCTTGGGGAATTCTCAGGGTGTTCCCAGTGCCTCAGGAGCTCTTGGGAAATCTTGGGATGTTCCCGGTGCCTGGGGAACTCTCAGGAATTCTTGGGATGTTCCTGGTGCCTCAGGAATGCTTGGGATATTCCCAGTGCCTGGGGAACTCTTGGGATATTCCCAGTGCCTTGGGAACTCTTGGGAATTCTTGGGATGTTCCCTGTACCCAGTGATCCCTGGGGAACCCTTGGGATGTTCCCTGTACCAGGTGAGCCCTGGGAACTCTCAGGATGTTCCCAGTGCCCGGTGATCCCTGGGAACCCTTGGGATGTTCCCGGTGCCCAGTGATCCTTGGGGAACCCTCGGGATGTTCCCGGTAGCCGGTGATCCTTGGGGAACCCTCAGGATGTTCCTGGTACCCGGTGATCCCTGGGAACCCTCGGGATGTTCCCGGTGCCCAGTGATCCTTGGGGAACCCTCGGGATGTTCCCGGTGTCCAGTGGTCCCTGGGAACCCTCGGGATGTTCCCAGTGCCCGGTGATCCCTGGGAACCCTCGGGATGTTCCCGGTGTCCAGTGGTCCCTGGGAACCCTCGGGATGTTCCCAGTGCCCGGTGATCCCTGGGAACCCTCGGGATGTTCCCCGTGCCCAGAGGTCCCTGGGAACCCTCGGGATGTTCCCGGTACCCGGTGATCCCTGGGAACTCTCAGGATGTTCCCGGTGCCCGGTGATCCCTGAGGAATTCTCAGGATGTTCCCGGTGCCCGGTGATCCCTGGGAACTCTCAGGATGTTCCCGGTGCCCGGTGATCCCTGAGGAATTCTCAGGATGTTCCCGGCGCCCGGTGATCCCTGAGGAATTCTCGGATCAGTCCCACACGTACGTTCAGGACGTAGGCGGACGGGGGCAGCGCCAGGCGGGCGCCGCCGATGCCGAAGGTGATGGGGGGCATGCTCGGGGTGTCGCTGCAGTCCACGGCGTACTGGGGGGACACAGACACGGGGCGCTGCCACGGAGGGGACACGGGGGGACACGCACTCCGCCCCCGGCAGCGCCACACCGCGGAATCATGGAAAGGTTTGGGTGGGAGGGAAAAGCCCACCCAGTGCCCCCCCGTGCCACGGCAGGGACACCTCCCACTGTGCCAGGGTGTCCCAGCCAGGGATGGGGCAGCCACAGCTGCTCTGGGAAATCCATCCCAGCCCCTCCCCACCCTCACAGGGAGGAATTCCTTCCCTGCATCAACCCTAAATTTCCTCCTTCCCTGCATCAACCCTAAATTTCCTCCTTCCCTGCATCAACCCTAAATTTCCTCTCTTTCAATCCGAAGCCATCCCCCCTTGTCCTGTCACTCCAGGCCCTTGTCCCAAGTCCCTCTCTGGTTTCCCTGTAGCCCCTTCAGACCCTGGATGTGATGTTTCCACACAATGTTCTCTTCTCCAGGCTGAGCATCCCCACCTTGCTCAGCCTGATGTCCCCTCGTGCTCCTGTCACCCCTGCAGTCCCTTTCCCTGCAGGTGCCACGTGGGTTTTGTGGGACCTGGTCGAGCCCACGGCTCTGGTTCCCACGCAGACCCCCCAAAATCCCCACACTCACCCCGTAGCTGGTCTCCTGGGCTCCCAGGGCCTCCAGGACGCTCTCTATGTACTCCTGGGGCACGGTCAGCAGGAATGTCCCCGTGTCCACGATGGCCTGGCAGCCCTGGCTGCACCAGCTGGTCACCGACTGCCCGATGGCAACCCTGGGAGGACAACGGGGACAAGGACGTGGCTTTGGGCCCCTAAACCCAAAGCATCGAGCCTGGAGCCCTGCAAAGCAGCAGCTGGAGCAGGGGGTGGTGGCCAGAGGTACAAACACCACTCACTCCTCAAGTGCCACCTGCCAGTAAAGCTTCTGTGTCACCGGTGCCCAGGTGATGTCCCCCTGGAAGAGCCCGGGCTCGACGCCCCCGAGGATGAGCTCTCCCCCGTACTCGTAGGTGGGCTGGCTGCG